CTTTCAAAGCCATTCATGAATTAGCATGCACCGTCCTATATCAATGATCTTGTTAAAATTAAACCTTTAAACTCAAGATATAGACTGCGATCTAACGACGCAATACTTCTGTCTCACCCGAATTTTAAAACTTTAACAACCCTGGGCGACCGTGCTTTTGTTGCAGCGGCGCCTAAACTCTGGAACGATTTACCTCTGGAATTAGAATGGCCAAATCTGTTGACACTTTAAAGACGCATCTTTTTAGTAAAGCTTTTCATTCTTAGCTAGGTTTACTTAATACCTATACACGACTATGCAATTTTTATTTATTTTAGCAAAGCTTTTAGGACGTATCTTTTTGTCACGCTTTTTATTCTTAGTTAGGCTTTCTTTGATATTATACACAACACATGATGTAATTCTTATTTTTCATTTAGTTATTTTTGTTCTATGTACTGTTGTAATGCGCAGTTGATCATCTCGCCATGAAAACTGCCCAATATAAATTCTTAATTATTATTATATTACTATTATTTGACCATGGTTGCAAAGGGTGATTAAAATAGGAAACTGACCAAGCGATAGTAAATTAGAATATTCTGGCATTCTGTTTGGGAGAGAAAGATATCAGATTAGTGAATTTCAAGGCCACTTTCCCCCTTTTAACTTTTGCCGACAGTTATTTCCTGTATACTCGGTTTGCGAGGCTCGAGTATCTCAATCAGACAAACGCTTCCGACTTCGGCAAGAAATTACGTTCAAAACTCTCCTGTGCTTTTCTAATATACATGTGCTTCCCTCAGCTTTAATTGTTAAACACTTCCTCACTCAAAGTCAAAAGCTAAGCTGGTGGTCTATTCATTAAATGTTTTTGTTGATGTTTTTTTGTGCGCCGAAAAGATTCTCATTACAGTGTCACTTTTGAAAGTGATTTAAAAATCATTTTCTAAAAATGCACAATATCTTTACCCTCACCGCTCTAATGAAAAGTTGTTATTACAAAACAATTGTGCCAAATACACGGTCAAATTAAATATTTGTTAATGACATGTTTTCTCGTGAGTGACCCTAACCTTATGGGAACCTGACTTAACCTAAGTCAAACTGTGCTTTGAGTCGATCGCATCAACTCTTTTCACATCGGCATACATATTACAAAGGTCGACTCATGATTTTTGCTAGTACAAATTTCGGGAGTCCCCTTTTATTCTGTCATGACGCGATCGAGATGGTTATTTTTGGAAAAGTCTTTCTGTTAAGTAACCAAAAAAAGAACACCTAATGATGATAAGTATTTGATGTTAAGATCGACAAAAGTTCCCGTTTGGCGACCCCCCGAAAACAAAAGAATTTGAAAATTGAGAAAGAACTGACGGTTTACAAACAAAATTATCTCTTTTTCTTTGAAACTCGATAAGACCGTCACATTTCCGCACGTTCATTACAAATTAAAATAGTAAGCTTGATCTGTGACAAGTTTAGCATAAAATGCTGAACACACGTTCAGTTCAATCGATGTCTTGTTTATAGCGACTCTGCATCCGAAAAAAGAAAGGAACTCGGAGAATCCGTTCAGTCCATAGTGGTTTGCTACTCCTTAACAGCAATGTTCAAGCCAACTGAGGGAGAAGAATTGGCGAGGGATTTTTTCGTCTTCATCTTGATGTTTTTTATTTTGGTTGGAAACGCCCTGATTATAGCAGCGTTCATAAAAAACCGCTTGCTTCGAACAGGATCGAACGTTTTCATCGTCGGTTTAGCTGCGTCTGATTGGCTTGTGGGAGCGATAGCCATTCCTCTTTACGTGGCGAATCTCAAAAAAGAACTGCCTGGCACGCTTTTAGAAAGGTCTTACATCACACTGGACATTTTTAGTGGAACAGCATCCGTTTTCCATCTAGTGTCTGTCACTGTGGAGCGTTATATCGCCGTCACAAGACCTTTTCTACATCACACTCTCCTACTCGACTCTTATTATAAAGCACTAGCCCTCGTCTGGGCCCTATCTTTAATTCTCTCCTGCCTCGACTTCATGCTTACACCCAAAGTCAGCAGTAAATACCCCTTCTATATCCTCGTTACCTTGTTTCTTCTCGCGCTTGTGACGATTGTCCCTTTAGACATACTCATTTTTAAGATTTCTCGTTCGCTGATTCGCAACACTGTTGAGCTCGCCGTGCATACAACCAGAAGCAACGAGACCTTAAGAAGGAAACTTCGCCGCGAGAGAAGAACGGCTGCAACAATCACGATTACGTGCGGAGCGTTTTTTGTCACGTGGCTTCCTCACCTGGTAGCAGCGTTCGTGTTCACATTCTGTTTTCCTTGTAATCTTTCCCCGGTGGATATCGGCCGCGTGGGTGCCTTCGTCAAGTGTATGCAATACGCTAACAGTGCATTGAATCCGTTTGTGTTCGCGTTTCGCGATGCTCAAATTAGAACAACGATAAAAAGGATGATAAACCCCTGCTGGAACATTGTCCAAACGGCCGCAAGTTCATCTCAAGAATCGTCTTAGATTTTTACGACAAGTAAGCCTTGGGATGTGCTTGATCTATTTGAATAAACAAAGTAGCAACACGACACATTATCAGCGATGGAACTCTTTCACACTTCAATATTCTGTGAAGTTTTTGTTGGATCAAAAACTGATGGCCTGTATATACATTTAGAGGGAGATACTTGTTTATTTACTGCAGCAATGACATTGTAAATTACCTTGTGCCACCAAGTAATCGTAGAAAGCAGATTTACACAGGGGAGTGTGCATGCCAACAACGCAAGATATGGTTAGGAACTCCGGTAGAATTTTACTAAAAGACTTCAAAAAATATCAATAATGACAGCTGTAAATAAAAGAAAAAATAAACTTGCAGCAGCACCTGGACTGGTGACTCCTCTCTCCGTTGTGCTATGTTTGTAAAATTAAAACTTCACTAGATATAAGATGTTAAAAGACTCTTAAAACCTAGAGAAATAAACTAAACTGCACGCCTTTGGGGACAATGGTTCTTCTACCTTATCAAGAGTTCAGTTACGGAGTAACAATACTCTCCCTCTTGCCTCAAATGAATTACTTACTTACATACTCGGGAAATTGTACTTAACAAAGGGATTGTTTTCACAAAACAGGGTTTCCGCCCAGTTAGAATTAACTGCATAACTTTATAAGACGCACAGATTGAAGGCTGTTCAAATAAAGACTCAACCTGTTCTTGCAACGATCAATTCGTTTTTTATTAACTTATTTTACGTTATTTGTAACCCTCCTTCACTGAAGTGAAGTTAAAATCCGACCATCCGCTTTTACCGCGGGCTATTTAAAGATTTGAAAACAAATTCAGTTTGAGGGTTTGACAGTTGTTTACAAGATCGAGCAGGTCGCATGAGGTGACGTCACAAATCATATACCACGTGAGCAAGTGGCGGGAGAACAAAGGGTATTCAACAGTCAAACGGAAGATTACTGGGTTATTGTGGTGAATAACCGTGAAATGGCTGGTTAAAAGACTCTATAAAGCGATAATGGGAAGCTTCAATGTTTTAAAAGAAGAGTTAGATGTACGTCGCAGATAACTGATTCTCATTGTCTGAGATAAGGTAGGGGAAATTGCTTTGAAAAGAGATTTGACAGACAGTAATAAATATTTTAATCAAACTTGAATTTGAAACTGCCCAGACCTAAGATAGATGACACTATTTTAACATGCACTGACACCATTTTGCTGACATTTGCGAACTAGATTCTGCTGAGAGCTTTTTGAACTTTGCGGAAGTAAAATCTTGAAACTGACGGCGTTTACTGTTTACGAAATGGAAGAGCTTGATGCGAGAGCAATGAGAGAACACTTGTAAAATTAACGGGTCCCAGTCCTTGCAGGTTGCAAAATGTGGCGATTGTTTAGGTCAAGTAAATGTAATTTGTAACTCGTTGAAAACCTCCAGATTTAAAGAAAATGGAAACTTAACATCGAAAAAAAAAAGAATAGAGACTTTTTCTGACTAGCGTTTATTTAAATTATCCTTAATCCCCACTTCTGAAAGAACACATTGGCATCAGACAATTGTCCACCGTAGAGAGTTCTTCGCGTTAAGGAAAGTATAGGGCAGAGAGTTAAGAACAAATGCCACCTAATCGTAGCCAACAGTTACCGGCACCTAACAAACGACTTACTGACGGGCGTAGGCAAAATTTACAACCATCGAGTGACTGGATTGCCAACAGTTTGACTAACAGTAAACGACCTTTATAACTGGACAGAAGATGGGTCGAAACGCATTTAGGGAGATAGTACGAGAGTGAAATAAAATGTCGGAAAAATTGCATGGACCAACACTAGGTTTCTGTTCAAGGATCTACAGTCGAAGTTCTTCTTGCGACAACAATCGTAATCGAGCAACATTGTGATACCCCATTTGACCTATGACTTAAACTCTAAAAAGAAAAGCCATCGCCAGCGACCACATACACATGCCATACACATACCATACTGTTTACAGGTAGTCTTTACAACACCTGACGGAGGATCATGAGGTTATCCCTATATTAACATCTCTCCTTACAGATACCCCACCCAAATCAGGAAAGGTTGACCACACCACCGGGGTCTACGTCTTTTGCTCTTTTCGAATAGTGGTGTGGGTTTTTTTACGTCCCTCAGAAACCAGATACGTGAGTACTGTGAGACGGGACCTGCGGTTTTCGTCCTTATCCGAGAAGACTAGAAAGTCTAATCGTTTGCAGATGTAATTTCAAAGAAAGCACTTTTTTCTCAGATATCAAAAGACCCTGAGTGTTGGTCCGTCCCGGTTTTTTTTTGGCTTGTTAGGTAATAACCTAGTGTAATCATTCAGATTGAGCTTATTTTCTTGATTTTTCCGGCAGACGACCACCTCCTGTAAGCGACCACTTTGTCGTGCACCAAGGGTGGTCGCAAACAAGAGAGTTGACTGAAATTAAAACCTTCTAATTAACCACTGGGTTTTATATTTTTGCTCCTTTCTGCCAAGGTTGTCTTATGAGCGGGATCTCGCATGATGTTGAAGATTTCATTTTATCTTCGCACGAGCAGTTCAGTATCGAAAGCATGCGCAGAAAAACACTGATTCCAAAACTCAAGCTCACACTCGAATCTCGTGTTCACAGGCTGGGTACGCTGAAAGGTCTCCCCCGCCTTTTTCTCTTCCGAAGAGCTTTCTGTTTCTACTGGGGACTCATAATTTTACTATTTATTTACCTTAAATGGAACTATCCTCTGTATCTGACAAGCAACGTCAATCGGAACACTCTACGAGACTTTGGTAGGGACTGGTGCCGAATGCGCAACGCGAGAATAGACTGGAAACGAATACGAGAACCCTGTGAACAAAACACAGTCTACGAATACAGCTTGCCCGGATGGAGCAAGGAAAATAGAACAAATGGGCGCTTCAGCTTTCTTGATTTCATGGACATCCGCCCTGCTGGTGAATTTAGTAGGCTTATGATTCGTACCCAGACCGCCTATGGGCTTATTAAATCAGTTGGCGGAGACTATTGGCGAGTGTTCATTTCAGGCCCTACTGGATTTGCGCCAACGGTAATTGATCACGGAAATGGCTCCTATGAGATCTTGTTTCTGATTCTTCGCCCTGGAAATTATTGCGTATCGGCTGTTCTGGATCATTCTATATGTGAAGGCATGAAGGACCCTCCAGACTACTGGTTTATCTCGGGTAAGAAAACAGTGTCATAGTAACCAACTTACAAAGAGCGCCTTTAAAAGGCCATGGTCACTCAAACTGCATTGCGCCCTTGTCTTTATTGTGAAAGGGTTCAGCCAGGGACGAATTTATTATCCAAACAATTTTACCGTAAATGATCTAATAGACGTCCGGAGCGTTTATTTAATTTTAGGTGTCGTTTATGAGACAAGAGACATTCATTTGATAGGGAGCTTCAATAAGGTCATTTACGGTAAACTGTAGCCAAGCATGCTCAAGTACTAAGGTACCAACTGCAACTATTGAGAACAGATACTCGTAAAATGTAGAGCAACGCTGATGTATACATTAAAGTCTACCCTCAATTCTCAAGCGTACTCCAAACACGGTCCTTTATGTTTGCAGGAAATACCCATGGAAGCAACCAGCCTCAGGGCATTCTGGGTGGAAAGCAAGTGTATTTGATGCATCCCTTAGCGGGCGGAGAACCGCTGTGCTTTGAGGTGCCCGCGAGCAGCGGGCCAATGAGAAGAGATGGTACGAACTATTCTTTCTTGCCAGTTCTTTAATTCCTATTGAATTCAAAAGAGAATGACCTAAAACGTTGCTTGAAAGTTGTAAATACTAAAATAGGAGCCCATGGGAATAGTTAGATATTTTTACAGTCCCCTATTTTCCCTGTTATTTTCGGGAAAGACAGAACGAAAGGGCGCCCTCTTGATTTCATCTGGTGATCGATGGTGACAGTGAGCTGGAGAATGCATATTGCCCAAAGGGTCGGGGAATGGAGACATATCTGGCCTACCAGCCCTACCCTCAAGGACAAATTGCACTACCCTCAGCTTTCGCTTACTATATAAAAACCAAGTCCAGCGACCCTTCAGACTCGACAATAAACTTCCACAATCACGGGGACAAACACTAGGTTACGAATAGTCTTGGAGACACTGAAATGAGGGTCCTTACAGCCTGTTAACTTCCTTTGCTGGGCTTGACTGTAATTTACACATATATCTTATTCAATGTACCTTTTTTTCAGAAGAATTTTTAAGTTATGGATATGGACATCCGTCCCACTGTGGTACTGACTGTAAGTTTTTGTCAGATGGATTTGGCTATTGGGTGAATGGTTCGTGGATAGCGCATGCTCCTGGTAAGGCCCTTTACCCTCTATAACTGAGTTTTATTTTTCACTCAGTATTTTTGGAAGCAAGAGTACGTTTCATTTGCTGTCTGTAAATGTTGTTTTATGCTCCAAGATTTAGGGAAAATGCACTTTAAGTTATACAGCATTTCTCACCACCTGCCAATCCTAACTAATATAGCAATCTTCAAGCCTTGCACCACCGTAAGCGTTGTTTTCCCGCGCATACTGTAATTATAAGGGGTTCGGTGTTTCATACTTCACCTAAATGGACAAATGCTTTGCTTTATCACGTCGTTACAATATACAACCCTGATTTCTTTACTTTTCGATAATTTAAATCTTCTCAGGAGATTTGAAGTTCATCCCGCTGATTGAGAATTAGCGACACGGCTACGTTTGGTTTAAGAATATAGGAAATATTAGCCTAGTCCCCTGGCGTTCTTGGCGCGGTCAATCCTGGACTCTACCCTGAGCTGTGACGTCACCGAGAGAGACTTGCTAAAAACGCTTTCTCTCGCCCGCTCTTTCCCAGACTGCGCGCAGACAGCTGAGCAAGAGAGAACGCCTAGGGACTAGGCCGAGGAAATGTAAGGAAATAGAAGATATATGACTGAGTTTGCTGCTGAATAGTTTGCGTCGGGTAACACCTCACAAATCCATCAGGCCTCTCTAAAAAGGAGATTTTTATATTGTTTGTCCCACTTTCAAACTGATACATTATTGTTTCTTTTAGATAACTTGTTCGCGCCTTCCCCGCGCAGAAGAGAAGGAATACTGTGGATTTACGGTGATTCACTTGCTCTCAGATTCTACGACTCCATTTATTACACGCCTTTATGCACAGAAATATTCAAAGCCTGTAATATTACCTACAACTGGGTCTACAACATGAACGAACCGGTAGAAATTGAGAAATATAAGAGAAACTATCGTGACTTTGATCCTTGGCGAGTGTTAAATGAAATCAGGGATGTAATATATCTTCCTCAAATGGACGAAAAAAGTGTTATCGTTCTAAACTGTGGATTGCATTACGTTTCTTCTTTAAAATTTGCAATTTATCGGAAGCTGATTGATGATATTATCGCTATGTTTAAAGAAACCTCGGTGAATAAATACGGTAAAGTGCAGCTCAAGTTTCCGGGAAAATTGATTTGGAAAACTACAACAGCCATTCACAGGGAGAGGTTCCTGTATCATGATCACCCGAGTCCGCGATTCCTAACTCTTCAGGTAACGTTTTCAGCAATTAGGTATAAATCCCCTAAAGTATGCTTCATCATCATCCATCCATCCATCCATCCATCCATCCATCCATCCATCCATCCATCCATCCATCCATCCATCCGTCCATCCATCCATCCATCCATCCATCCATCCATCCATCCATCCATCCATCCATCCATCCATCTATCCATCTATCTATCCATCCATCCATCCATCCATTCCTTCATTTAGTCAGCCAGTCAGTCAGTGTCTAATCGCCTTCTAACAAAGCATAAAAACTATAAACTGATATCCGGTGTTTTCGGCTCAAGTTTCTAGTTTCACCCGCCGAGAAAAAGGTCTTTTTTTGTACACCAAAAATTTAACAATACTGCATGATGTTTGGCTAACTAACCCATAAAAAGATGTATCTACTCGCTACTAGACTAGTTCCAGGCTGCTTCATTACAGACACGCTCTCTAAATTAGGGTGAACCTTGCAAATAGTTCATATGCACGCCAATTTCAATAGGGAGTTTTGCTTCCTTTTGCTTACTATTTGCACACACTGTGGACCAACCAATTTTGTCGGCCATGACAACGGCAGACAATTCACTACAATCAAAATAAGCTAAAAATAACTGAGTCTAAAGAAATCAAATTCATCCACAGACTTGATCACGGTCTGGCTCAATAGGTCCGGGGGAGTGGGGGGAGTGGGGGGGGGGGGTGGGGCAGCTGCCCCTCCTGCCTTCCGGCTAGTTAGCGCTCTAGATTTTTAACTGAGTGAATTATTATAAAGCGCTATTCATCATCATCATTATTATTATTGATTGAGTGAATAACTGACTGGCGGCTAGATTAGGCAGTGAGTCAGTCTGTCAGTCAGCCGAATATCACCCAGTCAATCAAGTCTGTGAAACAATTAGTCAGTTCATCAGGTAGTTATTCATTCAGTCACTCAGTAATCCAATCTTACAAAAAGTGAGTTTTCCCTTTAGTCAGTCAATCACTTGACTATCTACCAGACTTTCTGTTAGTCATTTAGTTTGTCCGCCAGTCAGTTAGTTGGTAATGAAGTCAGTCACTAGTTAGTCCGACAGTTGGCCAGTCAGCCCGTTACTCAGACAATAAACAGACTGTCTGTCTGTTTGTCTGTTTATCTGTCTGTATAGTCCTTTTGTCGTTGTCTTAAAAAGGTTTCAGTTTTAAAATACTTCATTTTTCCTTTCATTTAGCGCATACAGTTGTACAACGCGTACGCCATCTGGGCCATGTGCAAAGCAGGAATTGAGATTCTCGATGTTTTTCCGATGAGTGCCTCGTATCCCGAGGGAACAGATGGCAGTTTAGACAAGTATGATGCGGTGCACTTCAAGAAAACAGTGTTTAAACCGGCAGAGCAGCTTCTCTATGAATACTTTAATCCTCGCAGCAGCAAAACCACAAATTGAAGATGATAAAGTGGCTGTATTTTCAATAAAATTAATATATTCCAAATCAATAAAAATATGTCTTTTCAGGGTCAAACGGACGTTACTGATACCAAACATCGTACAATGATATGGGATATTATTACATGTCGGGTCTACTGAGGGGCATTTCCCTTCTTGTTCGGCAAGAAAAACGATTGTTTTTCCTCTCATTTGTCCAACCTTGTTTGGTCGAGATGACTCGATATTGGCCTTTACGGATCTAGAGGATTAAAAAGGTCCAATTTAAAAAAATGCCGATAACTCAGAAATTTTATGATAGAATTCCATTGAAATTGACCGCCTCTGACTGGTTTAGTTCATAATCCAATTCAATTAGTTGCATTATATTCCTGCCATTCATTCTTCCATGTGCGACCACCTCTTGTAAGCGACCAACGATTTAAACCACCAAAATTTTCTATTCATTAAACGTGGACAGTTTTATTTTCCACTGTTTTTAGCCTCTTGTGAGAAACCACTTGATTGATCGTTTGATCTCTATGTTCTTTATATGTTCCCAGGATGCTACTCAAAGAATGACAATATTGAACATTTCGTGACAACATTGAACTCAAACACTGAACTACACTTTTCGTAAAACTAGGCTTATTTGTCCCCACCTTTTCTGAGAGGTGAACCCCTGGGGTTCAATTCTCGCAGCTTAGTCCCAAGGCGTTTTCTGCTCGGTCAAACCTGGACTCTACCGTGAGCTGTGTTATCATCGAGAGAAACTCACAAAGAACTCCTTACCGACTCCAACTCCTTACCCCTTACCTACCCTTTTCCAGACTTCGCGCGGATAGAGGGACAAAAGGGGACACCTGGGGACTGGACTGCGATTCTCGTAAGCGACCACTCCACTTTGGGTGGTAACGTACGGGGGGTTCGACTTTGGTTTCGCTTCATTTTTCTTCGGAGTCTTGACTAGATCAAACATCAGGTGTTGACTTTGCGGCTATATAGAACCCTCGATCTTTTAAGGTTTTCAGCCGTGATCAGCATAAAATTTCTCTTAACACAACAATGCCTATGCAAACATAGAGGACAGTGAGAAAACAGAAAATGATTGTTGAAGGATTAAATGCCTGATTTTTAAAGACATTTTTCTTTTACGAACCATGCGAAGTGTGTAGAGAGAAGCGTAAAGATTTAGACTTGTACAAAAAAACATAAATAATTACGAAAAACTAAGTTGAAAAAGCTGTGGCGATTTCATAACAAGCCACAATAGTTTGACTAACCTACTCATTATGCAAATAGCCTCATGTCACCGAAATAGGTTATTGAGATGCAAGCATTCAAATCACTTAAGTCCTTCTGCAATCAGGTATTTGTTTCTAAACATTATCTTTCACTTAACTGAGTTCCGGTTTCATTTACGACTTTTTCTCACTGTTATTTTTCACGCAAGTATTACCAGTCACTCAACTTAGTCAAGAACAGCGTATTTCAGGGGTTGAGTGAGACATAAAAAGAGATCAAAAGTTGACTCGTCGCCTGAGTTGCAGACAGCAAATACTGTGAACTGAGGTATGTTACTCCCTTAACTTATAGTTCCTTTCTGTTAATTAACTCGAATAACCAGTCTGTCGTCATAAATCTCACATAAATCTCTGTGATGTAGTTACCTTGAACTGTCCTAAAACAGCTGTTAGCTCAATGTCTCACTTTCCAAATCTACGCGTCTCTTTCAGTTATAGCTAAATCACAGGAATCTAATACATGGCTCCGAAATGTCTGCTCCCGACAGTTTTTTTCGGGTCTTTTACTTCTGTAGGCTTAAGGGTAATACACAGAGTGCAAAAAGATGCAGTTTATGATACTGTCTACAACGGTATCAACCATATCGAGCCTCGTTATATTGGTATTTCTTAGATTGACAAGTTTACTTACTCTCGCTATCACTGTTTATATTCTTTGCAAAGAAAGTATATTTTTTGTTGTATCCTTGACAATAAGCACCTCGAAAACGATTAAAGTTAAACACCAACCTTAGAAAATGTGCCATAAAGTGGTGTATTTCTGCATGTGTTTGTTACTGTCCCGTTTTTACTACTTAGATTCGTTAAAATACTTATGAACCTCGACCAGAATGTGAGAAAACAAGGGGAGAAAACAAAAGCGCGTATTCTTTATTGCGAATCAAATATCTTTGATATATTACCTTTTTTATCTTGAGTCGTTGAAGCGGAAAATGGATTTTCTCTTCAAAAAAGAACAACTAAAACAAAGCGAACTGAAATTAAAATTCTTCATTTCAGTGAGCTAGACTCTTTAGTGCTGTTCTTAACAACCGAGGAATGAATAACAAATTTCTTCCCAAGGGTTCTCTCCAAATCCCGAAAGAGGTAAATCGTTAATGTTGGAACAGACAGGGCAACCAACCATGGTATTTATACATAAAACAGAAAAAAAGACAAGAAAACTGAGAATACTTTGCAAGTGTGGACTGACTGTATATTTTTTGGTGAAAAGATTTATTCTCTGTTTGAGATTACAAGTGCACCAGTTCATTGCGATGTTCGACCTCAGACTAGCGTCGATACAGGTATCGATTTCCAGTGACAAGTGCCTCCGGAGTCTATTAGCTTTATTGTTCAACCGTGATCTGTCGTCACGTGACCATTCTATTACGCAATGTTGCTTGAGATTCGACTCTCTGAACGAAGTCTGCACACACTCTCTCCATCTCGAGAGGAAACGATTGAACAGCGACCTTCATATTTAACTTACGATTACGAAATGGAGTTACTTTACGAATATGATTTGGAATTTTGCGCTCAGATTATACATCCCCCGAAGCAAACTACAACTTAACTCTGTTATTGACTACTACAAAAATTACGTTAGGGATAATCTTGGTAGATAAGTAATTATATGAGGCATACGAATTTGGTTTAAAAGCTAGCACTCGTACACAATTCAAGTTTTAAAGCTATCTTGGGGGCTGCTGTTGCGACAGCGGCTACGCTTTGTGTTATGTACAATCTTGCAATTCCGTTGGTCAAAATGAATATACGATACCGTAAACCGTCTTTTAAGCCCCCCCCCGGGGGGGACTTATTTAGGTTTCAGGGCCATTGGAGGGGGGAAGGGGTGGGGGTGGGGGGGCTCAATAGAGACAGGGGGCTTAACTAATTCAGAAAAGAAGATGGTGTCAGTTCTCCATAAAGACCTAGAATAAAAAGTAGAAAAGCTTAATTACAAGGAGGTTGGATGTCATGCAGCCGAGGATCAGAATCAAATCCGAACTTCCAGTTGGTAAACAAAACATCCCGGAACAGTAGAATAATCAGGGGGGAGGGGGAGGAGGAGGGGGGCTTAATAGAGAATTTACGGTAATTAATACTAAAAAGACAAATAATAAAAAGGAGGGATTACTGTCAAGTTGAAAACAAAAGGTAAATGCGACAAACACTCTACGCGACAGGTGATATGCCTTAACTAAAAATCATTTCCCCTTGTCATTGCTAGACAAGTATTTCCGTTATACCGGCCCGCATATGTCATCACCAAAGGCCGAGATAATCAGAGGTATAACTTGTCTTAATTGCATGTTTTAGTTAGTAAACATGGGATGCGGGAACAGTAAATCAACAAGAGTGGAAAACGCGCCTTTTCCAGTTATTAAACAAACAAAGCCGGTAGCAGCTGAACAAGAGAAGGAAGGAAAGATTAGTGAGCAGCCAGAATCAGGCACAGAGTCATCTGGTAAAGACAAGCAGACTACAGACAGTAAACCAGAAAAACATGGACCTCTCACTCCTAAACAGATTTTAATCGTGCAAAACACATGGGGAATAGTAAAGGGATCTTTGGATTTACAACAAATAGGCATCGAGTTCTACGTCAGGTATTTCCATACTAAAATCTGTTATTCTGAAAGTGTAAAGTTATTAATTTTTCTAAATAAGGAATGGAATAGGTTTTACTGGGATCAATGTCAATGCTCTCCTTAGGGAAGCTGATAGGGGTTTCTTGATCTCACAGAGACTAGCTGTCAAAAACAAGTATTTTCTCTCGGACTAGCGCTCTGTATGACAACACCTCTGCCTTTGCTTGTTTCAGGTCAGGGCAGGTAAAAGTGACTCAGGTTTGACAAAAACAAAATTGATCTTATAAACAAAAGGAAGAAAGGTGAATGAAGGATTCTGTCTGGCGGAGTAATATGCAGTTTTCTAAGCCATCACCCATTTTAACAAACTATGCCATTCTGCACTGACGTTGGATCTAATTGATCTGTATCCAAATTGAAGAGTTAACACGAAAAACACGTACAAACTGTTTTTGTAATTAGAAGAATCAACGATGCCAAATTCTAGCATTTATTCTTCTGGGGTACGTGTTTCACATATTTCGTACAAATTCATACACAGGAGTTAAGGCGGAGTTAAGGGTCAAAAAAGTCAGTAGGTATGAAACAGAATCCCTATAAACTGGTCTTTGCCGTCAAGTTCCCCTCCGTTACCGCTCAGTCATCCACCACAACAGTTCTTGTAGGGTAAAGATTATAGATTCTGGAAACGTTATTTAACAATTATTCCTCGAGCCCGAATGGCCATTGACTCAGAGGCCATGAGGGCGAGAGGAATAATTGTTTTTAATTAGTGCTGAAAATCCAACTAGTTGGTCAAAAATATCGAGACGAGACATTTTTAGCTAGTTAAAGCCAGACTTTAATCCCCTTTTTTGCCGCCAAAAAGCCGGCGCTTTTCGCTACTACTGGGCTCAGAGTAGCTCTGTAGATTGCTCTTTACTGGGCTATAACATATAGCCTAGTAGTAGCTCAACCAATCAGCACGCAGCATTGATAATAGACCACTAGTTGGATTTTACTGATGAGGAATATACTTTTACCCTCTAAATATTCGTCAGTATGGAAAGTACTCAAACAAACATTACTCATGTTGGTCTTCGCCCAGGTTATTCACCGATTCGCCAGAGCTACTGCAGCTGTTTTCATTTAGAGACATCGAATTATCTGAAGACGTCTTAAGAAGCGATGCGCGCTTCAAGAAGCAATCACTGGTAACTATGCAACATGTTGATTTGGCCGTGACCTCACTCAACGATCTGGGCTCCGTCGTTCCTGCTCTTAAGGATCTGGGAGCGAGGCATAGCATGTACAAAGTTGAAGAACACCACTATGGGGTATGATTGATTTGAATTTGATTATAACTTCAGTAAAAGTTTTGACCCGGCCTCTTTAGCATTTCGCCCCGGGGGTTCTTCCTTGTGCCTCCCCGAAGGGTAGGGTTTTGCGCCGTTTTGGCGTGACAACGGGTATAGACTTTGCCCAATTTGGCATGGAATTGAGGCAACTACGGGACTGTATGAAGGTATGAACGTTTCTATTCCAAACGAATAAGAAGGAAAGACAAATATGCGAATTCGTAATGGATTTTAAGAAATCTTTTTTTTGCTGTTCTAATCTAAGTAATTATTATGACACAATTTCTTTGCAGCCAGGTCTATAAACGGGGGTGAAAAGTGACATTGTTTGGTCTGAAATAGGGTCAGGAATTGGAGAGCCAGGCGGCACACCCCCAACGAGAATTCCAGGGAATACTCCCCCAGGAATTTCGCCTCTAGTTCCTCCTCTCAAGACTGACAACACTAGTAGAATAAAGCTCAGAAAATTTCATACAAACAGCAATTGTCCAAAAACCCTATTGTATGGACCTGTCATAAGACACAGAAGTGCGATATTTCGACTTGCAACAGGAGCCATAACCCGAAGCGAGCAACTCCCATACTAGGCCTTTGTCATAGTGTTTTTACGGACCAGTTTATTTTTAGACATTTTTTAGGGCATTATAAGATATCAAAAAGGAAAACTTAAGGTTTTTAAAAGGCAAAAATTATCATTTTTAGGCTTGTAGGTTTTGCTGACTGGTTTGTGGAATTTAAAAGATATTCAAATTCAAGCCTAACCGTTCTAAAAATAGACATGGAAGTTGCTAGCTCCGGGTTATGGGCTCCTTCTTGCAAATACTACTTTCTATCAGGTCCAGACAGCAGCAGAGATACGCCACTAGAAATTACTACCCCTTAAGTTACGGCTCCAAATAACACAGAGGGCTCAATCTTTGGTGTCAGTAAAAAAAATCCTCTGTTTGGGCCTTAATTTATTTTGTTTTATTATGTTTCTTTGTTGTTGTTGTTATTGTTTTCATCTTACTAAAACATTAACATTTATTGAAACAAAAGATGAATTGACCCCGACCCCAAGTATACGTTTTTGACATTCCTTCAGTTTCGAAATGTTTTTCGGTAGCCTATTTACCTCTACCACCAGTTCCGCAGAAAACCAACCACAGTTCATGGAAAGTGTTAGCCGAAGACCTTACTTGCATTATTGTATTCTTTATGCTTTTTTTTCCAGCCGGTAGGAGCTGCCTTACTGAGCACGCTCGAAAAGGGCCTGGGAGAGAACTTCACATCGGAAGCGAGAGAGGCCTGGACTACAGTGTATGGAGTGGTGTCAGACACAATGAAAGAAGGAGCAAAAGAAATCCGAGATGTTCAATGAATAAATGGATTTCAATAAGAGCCTTACAATGGACTCTTTGTTATATACTTGAAGTATTTTACGAAAGTTCAAGCATAATAGCCCATTTGTATGATGACGTCACGCGCATCATGGTTGTTGTATTGCCAAATTTCAAACCGAGGGGGACTGAGCATGAGCCATTTGTTATAGCATTATCGACATTAGACCCATTTAGTACAAAAGAGCGCATCAAGCTTTACAAAATCCTCAAGTATGGTGTTAAGTGTGCCAATATACAATCAGGCCAATAAGATACAGCAATTTAAAAACTCAAAAAAAATTAAAAAAAATAAGTACGGAATCGAGATTCTCTATATTTCGTAATAAAATTTGGAGTTTAGATGGTTTCGTTCAATAACGGCCCAATTGCACCGTTTAAAATTAGGCAGTGGACGTGAGAAGGTTTAGATGTTAATAATTTAATGATTATCTCAAACCCAGGCTGCATACAAGGATGGGCGTTTTTCAGTAGATAGTGTTCCGGCTCACAAAATCACAACAGCTTATGTGCGATTAGCTAATTACATTTCGGAGCAAATCTATGAGGCGGACACCAAAAGCTGGAGAAAGTATGTGACAAGTCGTGACTGGTTCTGATTGACTAAGAAGCTGGCTCGAATAAGCCAATCAGAATCCCTTGAAATGCGAAACAACTATTTCCAACCGACAACTAACCGGCTCTGTTTGTTGATGATTCTATACAGTAAAACCCCGCGACTAAGTACTGGTTTTTAGGAACCTGTTAGGATAAAATTTGCCAGTTAGGCCCCCTCTATACAAGAACCGGTTAAGCCTAAGATTTGACACGGGTTCTTATTTTCTAAAATCTAAAAACAATTCTGTACAATTAGGCAAATAGGATAAGTCAATATTCATAATCCTCTTTGGAGACAAACGTGCTTTATCACTCTAACTTCAATGTAGTGGTATGTAGATTTTCTATAGGGAATAACCTGAATACCACTAAATGCTCTTAGCAGCAATGAGTTTTTTCTTCGGAAAATAAGAACATATTTAGCAACCTAAATAGCCTAAATTTGTTCTAATTACCATTTATGCAAGAACCTGTTTAGGCTAACTTGGGGAAATGTTACTGTACACCTCATTAAATGAAAGAGAAAAACGGTGAGAGAGAAAAGGTGTATTTGAAATGTCGCAAGGGAATCCAAAACCAACTAGACAAGGAGCAATGGATCTTTGCGGAGGTTGCAGATGACTATCTTAATCAGTTGATTGCTTTTAAGTACGCAGGTATCCAATGCGTTCGCGATTGAACGCCCTTAACCAGTGAGCAGCATTGGCTCTGCTGGCATCATCTAAACTATCATGAACTCTTTAATTTATACAATAGAGAGGAGAAGTGTGACGTCATGTTACTATGGTAGCAAAACTTTCTGGATCTCAACAATAGAGAGGTTTTGCAACAGCAAAAAATCAATAGGTTTAGATTGGCAAAAGAACAACTTTGCACATGCATCACCCTTTTTTTACGTTTCTTAGCCGTTGTTGAGCGACTGCGACAT